GAAGGAAGGAAGGAAGGAAGGAAGGAAGGAAGGAAGGAAGGAAGGAAAAAGTTTATGTAGAAGGATAAACCATTATTCAGTTTCTACCATTTCACTTCTGTCTAACCCCTCCAACAATGTTTGGAGCTTTATTAATAAAGTGTCATTTTCTTAAGGATTTGGAGCACCCCCACAAGTCAGGAAAAGCTCTGTCTACAACTTCTCCACATTCCTGATCTGTCCTCTACTTTGAAATATCTGATTGCACACTGTGTTCTATTGTATTTAGACAATGTATTTGTCCTGAGCTATCTACACCAGACAAGCCCTAACTTGCCCCCAGCAGAATAAAACCAGGCTCACACTGGAGAAAAAGTATTTGAGCCAATTTAAGAAAAAAAATTCTCTTTCCAGTTATCCCTATGTTCAGAAAAGTATGTTCCAGACATGTTTCTAGCATCACAGCTATCATAACAGAAAGTATTTTCAGTGAATAGAAGAAATATATTGAAAAATTGCTTTCGTCATAGCTTCTACTGGGGCTTTTAGCATCCTTGTAATTTCATTTCTGTTTGAGGGAAGCAAAACATAACAATATATGTTTGTATGTCCCTGTGCTCAGATATAATTATTGGTCAGAAACTAACGTGGGCTCCCTGAATCTAAAGTGAAGCATCAAAGAAATAGTATTTCTCAGTACAGTGGTGGTAATAAATGAATCTTCCCAGATTCTTGTATAGGAAGTGGGCGTAAATTTCAATCTCATTGAGGGAGAAAAGTGGCCTAAAAGAAGCAGTACCAGTTAGCAGTTTTGGACACTTTTTTCCCTTTCATTTTGTTATTTTTACTTCATTCTCTTTTTCATTGAGAAGAGGATAGATTGTTCTGTTTGCATTATTGACAGTCGATTTTTCATGTTTACCCTTCTGGATGTAAGCTTCACATGTGTGTACACACAAACATATACACACACACAAACATTTGTGGTTTTTTATTGTTACATTTTGCCTGTTCTACCAGATCTACCTCTCTGGATGGAGTTTTCCACTTAATTTTCCAAAAAAATGAAAACTGGCAAACTTTTATCCTAATTCTTTTGGCATTCCTTCTGTGTCTGCACACATGTTTCACCTGTGCAAAATCTTAGGATTCGTCTGGAGTAGCAATAGGAGTGTCGGGAAAATGATGAGAATTTTTACTCCAGCTAGTGATTTGTTCTCCTGTGGGTCAGAGGCAGAAGAATGACAGGAGAAATTGGACTTTAGGGCAAAGACAGAATGGGAGGAAGGGAAGGAAAAAACGTAAATTAAAACATCTGGCTTGGTAATTACATGCACTAAAAAGTTTACAGTCTAAACTACCCACATGTAATTGATCTAGCTATAGTGATGTGTCACTTTCACTTACCCATATTAAGCAGTGGGCTTCACCTAGTTATAACCCATGCTAACCTCCACCACTGACCTGCTACAGTATACTTATTAAAGCTGCAATTATGAGGTGATCCTTAATAGGTAGGGTCTTGGTTCAGAGGGATTTTTCCCCTCTCCCTGTAGCTCACATGCAACAATTAAAGATAATTTAAAGTGTAAGTAATTGAGCTCTGTTTCTGAAAACTACTGTAGGGGTCTTGTCCCAAAATATCTGACAGATGAAGTGGTATATTTTGACAAGTTTTCTGCAGACTTCCATTAAATACCAACCAGGAGTTCTGTTTTCTTTGGAGTCCTTGGCTAAGAAATGGCGCTTGCAAAAGGTTATGCCTTGCCAAGAATGAGGATGGCGCTCATGTTAACGGGTTCACCACAGGGGGTGGGCTCTTGCCTGCTGGGTCATTGTCAAGCCCCAGAGAAAGGGAGGGTTCTAATGCCAATGGCAATAGCTTTCAGATATTCATTTCAACATTCAGACCAAGGCACCTTCCATTTAATGGCGAAAGTGATTAGGAGGCAACTGGGAACTGCCTGGTTGGTGTGAAATTCTGGCTGTTCTTGGTCTGACCAAGGCTTATGGAGACACTAACAAACACACATTAGTCCCCAAACCCTTTTTTCTTTATTTCAATGGCTGTGAATTTTAGTTATTCACAGCCCATAATGAGTCTGAAACAGTTTGTAAATAGTCCCATGGAAGTCTGCCAAAGTCCTTCAGGATAAGTCTGATAGTATGCACCTTTATCTTCCTTGAAATGCTGCCAATGACTAAATGTCCAATTAGTGATATGATGCCAAAATGGAACACAAATTCCACACCAAGCTTCAGGTTTCAAACCAACCCATACAAACAAAGTTGCTTCCTGCAAAGATTCCTTTCTTTTTGCTCCTCTTTTATGTCTTATGGGAGAGCCAATCACCTCCAAGCCTTACTCCTGAGTCACCCCTTTTGTCTTAACTGTTCTTGCCTTCTGCCAGCTCTCACACACACTGGGAACAGGCTCCCCTTGTTCCTCTGCCTCGCTGCTGTCAGATTCTGGAGGCTCCAGAGCACATAACTCCCAGATGGCCCTGACCCCATCTCTGTATCAGATGCAGGACCCTCGTCCGAGTCCTCCTCAGACTCCCGGACTGGCCCATGTTCCTCCCCACTGTCCAACTCTACTGCCATCTCCGGACTCTGCTAATGGACCACAACATTTCTAATCCACACAGATGTCTTTTTATGAGGCCAAGAGAGGCTTAGAACATATTCAGCACACCAGGCCTTCCATATAGATATTCACA